TATCTATCTATCTATCTATCTATCTATCTATCTATCTATCTATCTATGGTATTCAGCTTTGTTCAGGTATTTTCCCACGTCATTATAGTTGTGCTTTTAAAGTTGTAGCAACGTTTCAGCAGAATCTCATCTGCCATCATCAGGCTTCTGTATCGTGTTCGTCTGAACAAAGCTGAATACCATACATGTAAGTACCCGCAAAAACTTAACACACACATACTTCTGTACTGTGTTCGTCTGATGATTGTGTCAGACGATTGTGTTCGCCAGACGAACATAATACAGAAGCCTGATGATGGCAGATGAGATTCTGCCGAAACGTTGCTACAACTTTAAAAGCACAACTATAATGACGTGGGAAAATACCCGAACAAACTGAATACTATATCTATATCTATATCTATATCTATATCTATCTATCTATCTATCTATCTATCTATCTATCTATCTACCTATCTATCTATTATACACATTTCCTAAGATTCAGAATCCTGACACTTTTTAATGCAGAAGAACAGAATGACTAAGTCTTCTTATACCATTGCACAATGATTTTTTTTTACCTTAAGTGACTGTCGTTTTGTTACATAATTTTCTGAGTGGAGCAATTTTTCATATTCACTGAAGAACTGGATAGATAGAAGAAAAAAATAATTATGGCCTTTCCAATCAACAGAATGATCCCAATTAACTCATTTAATCAGAAATAATAAAAACAAAGAGAATTGGATGTGAATCACAGAAATCGAGTTCCAATGCATTTACAGACTGTGCTAATTGTGTTTTAGCATTTTTCTTGTACTATATACATAAAACATCAGAATAAGTATTCTGCAGCTGACTGAAGGGAATTTTCAGTTAATTCTTTGGACAATCATACACTTGAGTTTATAAACAGCCAACTTTATATTTTTATCATTAGCTATGGCCAGTAGATGGAGCAAGGTTGTCATATGTACTTCTCTGGTTAGCATGAATACTAGGAATGGCAACATAGTGAGAGAGTGTTGTTTGCTTCTTATAAAAACAATTTTCTTCTTAGCTTTTTAAAGATAACTGCAAAAAATTCCTGCCCAAGTCTAAAAAAATCTTCTTATATCCCAGGTTTAACTTGTATTGATACAATAAACCAGAAAACGCTGAAAATAAAAATATTTGGCTGAACAAGAAATGTTTCATTGTTTTTCACTCTCTTGTTTTATGATTATTCTGATAGTTGAAAAAAATTATAACAAAGAAATAAAAATACATACCCTATCATAATGCTGTTCCAAAAATTCTGCACTCAGCAACTTGTGCCTTGTAAGTAAATCCTTAAAATAAGAAAATACACTGTTACTCATTTGTAAAGTGAGTTTTGACCCATCTTACAATCTTTCTTGCCACAATTGTTAAGAGAATCACTGCAAGTTGTTAAGTTAGGGACATGATTGTTAAGTGAATCTGGCTTCCCTATTGATTTCTCAGAAGGTCGCAAAAGGTGATCACATGACCCCAGGACACTGCAAGAGTCATAAATATGAAACAGATGCCAAGCGTCTGAATTTTGATCATGTAACCATGGGGATGCTGCAATGATCCCAAGTGTGAAAAATGGTCATAAGTCACTTTCTACAGTGTCATAGTAACTTTGAACGGTCATTAAAAGTATTGTAAGTCAAAGACTACTTGTATTATTTTCCATTTAATTATTTATTTATATGCCACATAACTCAATTGAAGCTCACATCTATTTTAAAGAAAACTAGTACAACCATAATTTTTGTGCAATTTTACTTGAGCAGGGAGAATTTGCAGGTCCCGTTTCCCCCCCCCCCCCCCCCCCAAATTTTTTTTATCAAGTTTGTAATTCCTATTAATAAACCTCATCATTATGTTGCTGGAATTCAACAGGTGAAATACCGCATGTTGTTTATCTCTCTTTTTTAAAAAGACTGGTGTACATTTTAATATGTTATTTCTGTAATTTTAACAATGTTATTTTGTGGCTGTCTGATTCTTCGATATATTTTCCAAAATGAACTACAGCAATTATGATATAATTTTTTAAGTGTTGTCGAATATAAACAATACAACCTTAAAAGTGGCAAATGCATCTGAAGCAATGTCAAATGTTGACATTTCCACATATCTGAAGAAGTCGTAAAACTGTTCTGACCACAAGATTATTTTTGCTAGTGGTTCATGTCTGATGCATTCTCTTAACATGATTCCACAATTCAGAGCAATTTCTGGAGATTCATACCTGTTTAGGCAAAAATATTGTATCAACAAAACAGGCATACAATCAAAGCAGATTATTAATGTATGTTCTAAATTGCCTACTAAAAATGTAAGTTCATATTTACTGGGAACAACACTTCTGTTGCATGAATGTCTGTATGTTCAGACAGATATCCCTCTTAGTTTTTCATTTATCTTGTAAATGGACAGGCTTCATACATGGAAACAGTACCAGAAAAATGCTATGAAAACAGCAAGCAAGTTGTCAATGTTCAAATATTATAAAGGGGCAACAGCTATTGAAAAAAGTAGTCATGAAAGTTTATTGCAGCACCTTGTACAGCTTCTAACTCAGGTTTTTTATTTTTGATGATAGGGATTTACAAGCAAAAACTTGATTTTTTAAAGATAATTTTTCTGAGAAAGTATAATCTGATTTTCTGAGTGAAGTTCATCACCATAAATGCTGATAGCTCTGTTAGCATAAATCTGAAGCCATGGTCAGGGATGTCTTTACCAACTTCACATTATTAGAGATAGCAACTGAGAGCAAGTTAGGTGTTGTGACTTAAGGTCTAGTCTAGAAACTGAGATATCGTGAATTATGGTCCCACTTTAGGCATGAAAGCTGGCTGAGTGGCTTTGAGCCATTCATTCTCTCTTAACCCAACAAATTTCACAAGATTGTTGTTATGGAGAAAATAGGAGGGTTATTGGTTATGTTTGCTGCATTGAGTTATTTACAAAAATAATAAAGGTGGATGAATAGTAAATACAAAATATAAAGAAATAAAATTAGAAGTCTTTGTTATGCCTACCTTTAGAATCTACTATTAAACAATAGGTTTTCAATATTTGGGAGGCTATGGATACAATTGGAGCTTGGAAGAAAAAAACCATTCTGGGCAGAAAATGTTTCATGTATCCCACTTGATACAGGTAGGTGTGCTTTTTTCCCCCTTTTCTCTTTCTCATCTTTTGCTAGATTACTCTCCTTAATCACTGCTTTTGCCAAGGTCTTTTTTCTTTTAGCAAAGCTCTGTCATGTAGCTATGTCAACCGCCCCACTCAGTCATCTAGCAAAGAAAGACTCCTGTCCATTTGTTTTTGCCAAGAGTATGCTTTACTGAAGCTTACGTGATTACAGAAGTAGAGTAACCTGAATCTGAGATTTTCCCCGTGCAAACAATACAAAGTACATTTCCTCTTCCCCTCTCCAGCCATCCCCACTCCTTATCTTAAATGTTCAATTAGATGCTGGTATATTGTTGAGGAAGCAGGTTCTCAATTCCCAGCTCTTCATATCAATAGATGACTTTGGCTAGCTGAAACTTCTCACAAAGCTCAGCTGGGCTTCCCTCCCTCCCTTCTTCCTTACATACCAATCTTTCCCTCTACCTCACCCCCTCACCCCCATTGCTAATGTCAGGCTCATGAAACTTGGATAGGAGAGATGCAGCCATGACAATCTCACCTTTCTCTTTTTTTTCAAGGAATGTTCTGGGTGTACATAAAATTCAGGGGACTCTGGGCAAGGGAAGGGATTTGCCAACTGCTAGCGGTTTCAGTGTGAATTCAAAGAACCAAGGAGCACAATGGCGTCCAAAGATTTGCTATTTTTACATTCATATTAGAAGTCCCTTATAGAATAAGATTTCAAAATGCATTTATGAATGGAATTCCAAGAATACATCATACACCAAGTAATATCGAGACTTCCATTACACATGTGCTGGTCTCACTGGCAAAGTCCTAAGTAATTTACAGCTTAACTGTATGACAGTAAACTTAGTGGGAATTTTGGTGTATTATGTATTTGCTGAGTTTGAATAAATAAGCAACATTTTGTAAGTTTTGAATGCATCGTGTTTGTTGCTCATGAGTTGAGTAAGAAGCAAGCAATGGTCAAAAGAAAAATGTACTTATCTGTTTATAAATTATTCTATTTTGTTATTTCTCACATTGCTTAACTGTTTTTTAAATGACAGGAAGAGATTTCATTTCCCCCAGACGTGGGGAAAAACAATTATAAATATCCCTCTGTGCTAAACAGCAACAATACTTCACTATTCATTAATTTGTTGAAAGGTTTCACATTTGTTTGTGACTGTGAACACAAATGAAGCATGATGCTCCAATATAATAATGCACATGATATAAGCAGAGGAAATAGCAATCTGGTGGGGAACATACACAATGAGTTGTTCTTTATTTGAGAAAACTGAACCAATAATTCTTCATTACTACAAGGCTATGAATTGTATATCAAGAAACACAGAGCACATTGTGTAGGAAGACTTCAGTCTACTTTGTGAATGATAAGCAAATATTCAATGTTTAAGAGCCTATTTGCACAGCAAGGTGACAAACTATGCAAACAATTACAAAATTAAAACTCACAGACAGACTAATGAGAACAATTCCATACATATAGGCTACTTAAGAGGGTACATATTGAAAGACAGTGAAACTTATTTTAAAATAAGACAATTCTGAAGTATTCTTCTGCAGGGATATTTGACTCAAGTCTTTCAGAGAAATCTTAAATCTGCCTTCCATAAAATATGGTATGGAAGTTTTGTTTCTAAAACACTGGCTATATTTAAAAAAAAAAACAATGCTAAGCTGCAGTGTAACGTGGTAAGAATTTCATAGAAGTACAGATTCCAATTCTTCTGTCTTCAGGAAAACTGGATGTTTAAGTTGAAAACATACTGCTAATATGTTCGAATTTCTCATTAATTTTAATTTAGTATAATACCTAATTCTTTCATTATGGTTTATTGAAACAAGCTTCATTTCCACTAATCAGACTTAATAATATAGTTTGCCCAGAGTTAAGACGACATAATAAATTGTGGTTAATGACCAACAGATGCAAAAGTTTCCAAATTTCTCATTGTTATGATGACAAGACTATTGGGAGGCTTTTGTGTGTAGTACATTGAGGGGCAGGAAGTCCTTTAACAAGTATTTAAAGTTCAGAATTTTCCAGCCATTGCAGATAATTACAAGAATACCAGCAGCTCTTTAGGTATACAAACTAGTTGACAGCAACCTTTATAATTACAATTATTAAGGTAGAGATACTACAGCCCTACCCAGGTAGAAAATTAAATGTAAACTAGTTTACATGAGAAAAATAACAATCATCTCATATTTATAATATAATACATACCCTTTTAATAGCATGAACAAAATATTTTGCTGAGTGCAGATGTATTCAACTGTGGGTGTTCTAGTACCAATTTGTCTTCTCAGAATATTGTTAAATATTTGAGCCACATCCTTTTTGCCCTATCAAAAATACAAAGTAAGATGTTATGTTGATATATTACATACAGTACAGTAATAACAATAGAAATATATAACTTCACTTTGTGTTTTAAAGACACAAACTAATTGATTCAGTAGAAAAACTTGCATTTTACCAGTTTTTATAAAATATATATTTTATAAATATAAATACATATTTTTATTCTCTACTGAATAGCCAATATAATTAGTTTACAGTTACAAAGCTATATCAACTTTTTATTGCCTAATTTTTTTACCAAAACTAATTTCCATATGCAGGATTTTATTTTCTGCAACAATAAAACTCTTTAGCTACCGCTTTCAACTTCAAGAGGAGCAATACAATTATTGCATTATTGCAACACGCTCTACATGGGGCTGCCCTTGAAGAACACCCGGAAGCTCCAGTTGGTGTAAAATGCAGCGGCCTGCATGGTTTTGTTGCAGACCCCGGTGTGCACATGTGTTACCTCTCCTGCAAGAGTTGCATTGGTTGCAGATTTGCTTCCGGGTGCAATTCAAGGTGCTGGTTGTCACCTTTAAAGCCCTTCATGGCTTGGGTCCGGGTTATCTGAGGAAACATGTCTTGCCAGTCACATCTACCCGACCCATTAGAGCAAGGAGGCAGGGAATGTGTATCTACCCCTGAGGGAGATACACCTGGTGGGACCCAGAAGAAGGGCCTTCTCCGTGGTGGCTCCAACTCTCTGGAATATCATTCCCCCAGAGATTAGAATGGCCCCCACTCTAGCACTCTTCTGAAAGGCACTGAAGACCTGATTTTGCCAGCAGGCCTGGGGAACCCAGAGAGGGATGGAGCCCATCAAATGGCTAGTGTGATCTGCTGTTGTCGAGGCAGGGGGTGGGAGTTGGTTTTTGTTTTGTTTTTTGTTTTCCCAAATTTTATTGTATTGTACTTTACTAATTTGATTCTTTTTGTTAGTTTTTTTTTATTTTTTAAATATGGTTTTACATTGTGTAAGCCACCATGGGCAAACAGGCGGCAATATAAATTAAATAAATAAATACCATCTGTGACTGTGATATTTACATTCTAAAGCTATAGAATAATATTTCTATTTGCCATCAAGAATCCAAGTTCTCCAGTCATCGTAGTTCACCCCATATTCATCTTGACTAGCTCTAAAATTATTATTAGCACATCAAAATAGAAATTTTCCAATCCCTTTGAAAGAATAAGCCAATCACAAATGCTTGTATTTACCACAATTCTCTATTCTATATACATATGCAATACAACAGCTAATGAATCATTCTCTGTGAATCTCCTCCTTTTACACACATTATTTAGGTTTCTTAGTATTTCACTGTATTTATTCACAGGAGGAAAGGATGCAAATATTTTCTTAAAGGCTGTTGGTTATGTTACTAAGGGAGCAGAGATGAGACTACAGGAATAAATGTTGCAAAATATAATTCTGTAGAAAGACAGGAGGCACTGACTTGACTACAGTCCAAATGCAAATATTTGTAATTCCATTGTAAACTGACCCAAAACAGCAATAGTTTTTCCCTTTGACTAATGTTTCTAGAAACTACTTCAAAGTGCATATCACAATAATCAAACATTACTCAATAGCCCTGCTAACTCTGCCTTAAGTCTTGTGATTCCCCCCCCCCCCCGATTCATCAATACTAGCATTTGTCATAAGAAACTTGATTATGAACAATAGTAACACTTTATTTGTTTGAACTATGTTCTACTTCTAAATGATATAACTTCTTCATGATGATGATAATCACACATATTACATTGGCAGTTCCATGTTTTTGATGAAAACATGCAAAAATTTAATAGTCTTTAAGCATTTGTCTTCAGTATGAAAGCGTTTATAATCATATTCTGGATCTGTGTCAAGAATACTGAAGATCAAATGTACTGTTAAATTTTAGTCTAAAATAGACTATCCTTTTGATAGAAAACACTATTTTTTAAAAAAAATATACACATCTCTAAAGATATACTACATTACTAGGTTATATAAATGTAATTAATTCTATAAATAAAAATAATAATATAAAGGCAAGGCTTCAAAAATTAGCCAACAAGTTCTGCACTCTCCCATTTAACATCTGTTAACAGATTTAACATCTGTTTTTGACCATGTGTTCCTCATAGAATCGTAAGGTTGGAAAGGACCTTGGAGGTCTTCTAGCCCAATGGTTGCCAAATGGTGGTCCATGAGAAAATTTTGGTGATCTGCAGAGAAATGGTCCGCAGAGCAGCCCCCCAAAGCAATTAATGCAGGCTGTGCAGGAACACAAGGCTATGCCGCCCACATGGCCCGTGGCAACCCTCTCCGCCCACTCATTCCTTACCCGGCAAACTTGCCTGCTAAGTTACTATTTTTCCTTTTTTTTCCCCCCGACCATCAGCTGTTCTGTTATGCCGGGAGATTTAGATTAGCTAGAAAGCAGGAATCGTTGAATTTCTTGCTTTCTAGCTAATCTTTAGATCTTCGGCTCTGCTTTTAAGGTTCTATTATTCGGTGCAGACTCAGATAGCCAATGGTAGAAACACAGATCTCTAAGTGAATCTGTGATTCTGTGAGCAACTCAATCTGCCTGCCTGTTTTGCCTGATTTTGAGTAAAAGTTGCTCTTTTTTTAATAAAAAAACTCAGTATTTACATACATGGTGTGTTGTGAGTTAATTTTGTGAGTTTGCTTGCTAGCAAATTTTATGAGTTTACTTGCAAGCAAATTTTATGTGACAGACTCAGGTAGCCGATGACAGATAGATAGATCCCTGAGTCTGTGATTCTGTGAGAACTCAGTCTGCCTGCCTGCTTTGCCTGATTTTAGATAAAAGTTGCTTTTTTTCTATAAAAATTGAATATTTACATAAATATTTATATTTACATACAAGCCATGCCCAGCCAGTCACATGACCACCAAGCCACACCCATAAATTAGGCCACACCCAATAACCAGTTGTTAAGAAATTTGAATCCCACCCCTCTCTCTCTCTCTCTCACACACACACACACACACACCAACATCAGCAAGCCACCATCAGTCAAAATTCATATTAGTGGTCCCCAGGATTTAAAATTATGAGTTTGGTAGTCCCTGAGGTCCAAAAGTTTGGCGACCCCTGTTCTAGTCCAACCCCTTGCCCAAATCAGTAGTCCCTATACCATCCCGGACAAATGGTTGTCCAATCTTTTCTTGAAAATCTCCAGTGATGGAGCACTCACAACTCCGGGAGGAAAGCTGTTCCATTGATTAATTGTTCTCACTGTCAGGAAATTCCTCCTTGTTTCCAGACTGGACCTCTCTGACATGTTCCAGTTCTTACTGCTTCTGAAACACAGGGGACCTTCAGACACAAGTCACTTATGATACAGAGAGGGAAGGTGGTTTTCTTCTCAAAAAACTCTAATTGCCTTTAACCTTTTTCATCCTGCCCTAAGGGCAGAGTTCATAGTTTGTTATATAAAAGGCACATATAGCTAATAAGATAGGTAATGAGAGAGAAACCACATTCCCACAATGGCAGCTTATCCAGCAGTTTTTATTTTCCCATTAATAGAATAGCCAAATGGAATTAATGGGCATATTCAGGTTCTGGGGAAAAGATTCATTCATCCTGTTGCTGGGGTTTTTCTTTTCTTTTTTGTTTATGTATCCCTCAACTTGTCCATGGGCCTCAGTGAGTACCCAACTATGCAAATTACTTGTCACCTCTGGAATGTTCTAGGGCACTTTCAGTTCATGTTGACAGTGTGTTTCATAATCGTATACAACTATATGTATGAAGAAATCCTTTTATACCTAAAAAGACACCCGTGGCTTTTTTTCTGTTATAGTCATGAACTAGTTTAGTTTTCAAAAAATCTTACAATAGATACAAATAATAATTTATAAATCCAGTAGGAATCCAATTTCTCCCCACATTCTATCCATGGAGATTACAAAAAACAATAACAATTTACTCTGGTAATTATCTTTGATGAGATTCAAATCTGAAATTACCATTAATACATATTTTCCTACCTCAAAATCAATGAGTTGTAGATCAGCTACTAGGGTGCTAAGAAGACCGCTGTTGTATAGTTCTTGAGCAAGCTGAGCTACAGCTTCTGTCTGGGGTTCCTTTTCATTTGTGCCATATAAAATTTCTTTCATGGCAACTAGGTTTTTTGAAACTTCTTCGGTAGCCTGCACAAGAAAAAAAGCCTAGTTATTTTTAAAGCTGAAAATCTTTTGCTTACTAATTTTACTATTTTTTCATTTGTTTTGAACTTTATCTTTACAATAAGATACAAAGAAAAAAGCAAGCAACTTAACAAGAAACCAACAAAAGAGGAAGTCTGTAACAAATTCATCAAATTGTGGAGGGGCTTCCAATTCTGCATTTAAAAAGATGATTTGCTAACATTACAAGGTATCATAAAATCAATGTCAAAGAACATAAGTCATTAAATAATAGTATTATTTAATGATAAGACTGTCGTTCCAAAAACAACTAAGTTACTTACCTCTTGAATCAAATCCTCACTACTTTTCCAATTTTTCAAAAATAATTCACTCAGCAATACCCAAAACTCAATATGACCTTATATCATTGCAAAAATAATCAGATTCCAAAGTTATTTATCATAACAGTAGCATCATTGTATGTATCATTGTTTTTATCATTGTAAAACATCTCCGAGATGTCTATATTTTCAATCATCAGAACTGAAGAAGCTTCTTAGATGAGAAGCTAAACGTTTTCAAGGAAAAATAAAACAAGGAATTCCAGTTGCCTTTTTAAAAAAACACCCCTGATCTTCCAAATCTTAACCTGAACAATTCAGGAATTGAGATATCTCATTTAGGCCACCTTATTTTTCCAAAAATCCATAAAATACTTCCAAATCACACCTCCTTTTATTACGAAGTTTCTTATTTAAGAGTCTGTAAAAGACTTCTCTGGACAAGTAGAATATCCCTGTTGGCTTGTGGGTTTTTTGGCTGTTGTAGTCTGTAAAAAGACAGGGGCCTAAGCTATTTTATACACTTAAATACATTTAGTTTTTGATGCATTATCATACATATGACACCAAATGGTCACCTTGGAAAGGCCTGCATATTCCCAGCTGTTATGCTGGGTATATCCAGTCACAGAACTCAATACTCCAGAAAAGAAAGAGAAGGGGAAAAATATGAGTATTTAGAAATGAACAAGGTAATTACTGAAAGCCAGTATGGGTTTGTTAAAAACAAATGCCAGACAAAACTTATTAGATTCTTTAATAAAGTGACTAAACTAGTGAACTAGGAAAATGCTTGTGCTGTCCCGCTCATACACAGGTAACAGTGGTTTGTTGGGTTAATTAACATTTCCCAGCAATTCCCTTCCCCCAAACTCCACAACTGTCCCAATTAAGTCCAGCCAAAAGCAGACGGCTGCTAGTCCACAGAGCAATGGCCAATAAGTCCACAAGGCATTTGAATGTTTCCCAATCAAGATAAACCCATAAGGCAACCCAAATCCAAAATACAAGAGGGTTCACAAGGCAAGAAAAGTCCAGAGTTCACAAGGTGCGATCCAAGTCAAGGCACAGTATCAATCCAAAGCAAGGCAGGAATCACAACTAGAAAATGAACACATTGTTCCCAGCATCGCCTCCATCTTCTGGTATAGCCCATCAAGAAAGGCAAGGCTGCCTCCTTGCAAATAATCAGGCTGACTTTCGCTTTTCTCTGCCCTACATGTTCTCAGATCAAGTGCAAAAGGACTCTTCTTCCTTTTCGCTGACCGTCCTCAGCTGCTTGCTTTCCCCTCCTAAAGTCTGAGGGCTGTCCTGCTGAAATTGTGCTTCAGCTAAATCCCTTTCAGATGACTGCTTGGAGCCACTGACCAACCCATCTCCAAACATGCCCTGAACTGGTTCATCCTCCTCTAAGCTGACATCTGCAGAGGTACCTGGGGAGGTGTCTAGAGGAGTCATCACAATGCTGTGGATATAATATCCTTAGATTTCAGTAAGGCCTTTGATAAAGTAGACCACAGCCTACTTCTTGGCAGATAGAACAGTGTAGAATAGACAATCCTCAATGGAACTATATCTATGTGGAAAGAAGCATAAAGTGGGGTACCTCAAAGTTCTGTTTTGGGCCCGGTTCTCTTCAACATCTTCATAAATGATGTAGATGAGGGGATATAATTAATCAAATTTGCAGGTGACACCAAGCTGTGAGGAATTGCCAACACTTTGGAAGATAGACACAAGATTCAAAAGGACTTTGACAGATTTATCATTGGGTCCTATTCACAAAGATGAAGTTCAGTGGTGAGAAAATAATGTCCTTCACTTAGGCAGGAAAAAAACCCAAATGCATAGGTATAGAATAGGAGGGACTTGCCTCAATGGTAGTAATTGTGAGAGTGATCTAGATGAAACACCTATTATGTATGAGCCAGCAGTGTGCTGCAACTGCCAATGCAGTTCTAGACTGCATCAACAGAAGAATAGCATTGAGGTCACAGGAAGTGATAGCACTGCTCTATACTGCATTAGTGAGGCCACATTTGGAATACTATGTCCAGTATTGGTCATCATGACACAAAAAAAGTTACTGAGGCCCTAAAAAGAGTGCAAAAGATAGCAAGAAAGATAATGTGGTCTGGAATCTAAATTATACAATGAATGGTTATGAGAATTAGATACAGTATATTTAGGCTAGTGAACAAAAGTCTTAGTGGAACATGATAGCAACCTTCCAATACTTAAAGGGCTGTCGCAGGGAAGAGGACAGTGATTTTCCATAGCACTGAGGGTAGCACAAGAAGCAATGGATGGAAACTCATCAGAGGGAGATTTAACCTGGAAATAAGAAGGAATTTCCTGACATTGAGAATGATTAATCAATGGAATAGCTTGCCTCCCAGAGTTATGGGTACTCCATCACTAAAGTTTTCTAGAGATTTTATCCAGTTAGTACAAGAGCACTTGCCTTGAACAGGGGATTGAACTAGAAGATTTCTAAGGTGTCTCCCAACCCTATAATTCTATGAAAGGGAAAGGAAACCAGATAGACTGGTAGGACCGATGGGCATTATTTTAGGGACGTTAGGGTGGTTTAGTAATGAGACATTTAATGTCTGGAGGATGTAAAAAAATCAGTTATCATCTAAACATAATCTCCTGGAAGGATTTAAAAAATGTCAGACAGAAAGAGGAGACAGACTGTTAATTAAGCTCATACAGTTGACTATTTATAGCATCAAGAGCAATTATACACACCACAAGCACACTGCCCATTTAAAAATAAATGCTGAGGTTAACCAAAAAGATAGAATTAGATCAACATATATTCAAAAGCAGACGAAAAATCACCCTAATATGCCAGCCACGCTTGTATGCAACTATTTAGGATTCTGCTCCCAAAATTCCAAGAAAAGGCTTCTCCTTCGAAGGATATAATTGAAACCAAAAACAAAAAAGGCCTTGTCTTTTGCTTATTATGTTCAAGTTGGGATACCAGCTCGTCTCTAAGCTAGACTCAAACTATAGTTTGTTCTTAGCTTCTGTTCAAACAATTTGGAGGAAAACTGCCTAAGAAATTACACTGCATAAAAATTGTACACATGCATCCTTTGTATACCTTTTTTTAACTGTGAATTACCATGAGAAAATCAGGGGAGTGCAATATTGTTATATGACTACATTCTGAATTATAAATTTGAAAAAGTAAAATGACCTCTGCTCATTTCCCCTGCTGCATATATACAGGAAAAATATGCTTAATCATTTAAATTGTTTTCCCAGTGCAACAAGTTTTGCATGCAATCCGTACTTCATAAAGTATGGTAAATTTAAATTTCAGTGAAGTTTATTAGCTTTTATACTGTTTCAATCATGTAAATTTTGGCAGTATACATATAAAGCACAGATAATAAAATGCATATAAAATTAAAAACAATTCAACAAAATATTTAAAGAATAACATATAATTATATGTTTTTAATTCTGAAAACTATTATTTTATTATAATTCTATCTTCACTAGATAGAAAAACGTGTGTGTGTGTGTGTAATGTTAGCTATCTCCTAAAATAATTCCTTTAAAAATCCATTTGTCTTTATGTGATTAAGTGGTCATACCAGAATACTTTTCATAATAAGGAAAATGGGAAAATAGATTTTCTCTGCTTTCCAAAATTGAAGCAGGAAATGGAGGAAAATTCTGCCCTCAGATTGTGAAGCTCTTAAACTAAGAAATAGAATTCTTAGTTAAGGAGAAGCCAGAAAGATTACTTAATCAACCATTCCTCCTTCTGAAAAGTGAAAGAGGATACGGGTAGTCCTTGACTTATGACCACAAATGGGACCAAATTTCAGTTGTAAATTGTTGTGGTCATAAGTCAAGGGACTCACATGACTGGACCCAATTTACAGACTTATGGCAGTTATTATATAAATCATGCAATCATAAATCTGAATCATTATGTAAATCCATTCTCCCAAAGCTTATGTGAACGCAAGTAGGGAAGAAAGGTTAGGAGTGCTTTATGGGCTGTTGTAACTTTGAGTGATCATTAAATGACTGTTCATAAACTGAGGACTACTTTTATTGTAGAAACATATTTTAAGTGAGAACCACATGTGAAAGATTCTAGGCCTAAGTCAAAAGTACTGCAATTTAAATATTGCATTATGGCAACGAAATCTCCCTTCATCACTTCTAGGCCAGGGGTCTGCAACCTGAAACACTCAAAAAGCTACCTGGGCTTGTTTCCCACAGAAAACACAGGGAGCCATAAAACCTGGATAAGCATGGCCAACTCAACATCACTCATTCCCACCCAATCACATGACCCCCAGCCACGCCTACCCCGGGTTTGTTGCTCCCCGTGTTTTCTTTGTCTCTCTCTCTCTCCCCTTCCCTCCGTCTAATCTTTCTCTTTCTCATCTCTCTTTTTCTCTTATCCCCCTCCCTTCTTCTCATCCTTCTTTTTCTCATCTCTCTCTTTTTCTATTTCCCTCTCATCCCCCCGCCTCTCTCTCTCTTTCTCTCGCTCGCTCTCTCCCACCCTTCCTCCCTCCCACTCCCCACCTCCACTTCCCAACCCACATACCCAGGGAATAACTGTAAGGAAATTCGACCACGTTCTCTCTATCTCTGGAAAAATACAAAAATTAACCTTCCATTGCAAAAGGAGTGACTGTCAGACTGTCACCGCATGCACTTCAGAGAAGCATCATCCCAAGCAGCAGTACACTCACACACACACACACATATGCATCCTGCAACTCGGTGCAAAGTAGCTGGAATATATAATCCCTGGGCACCCCCCAAAAGATGCTTGGCAGGCAAAGTATGGGGATGAACCCCCCCCCCCCATCACCAAGGCAGCGTCTGCTGAATCCTTGCAAAACTGGGCAAGGCAGAGAGAGGAGAGCAGACAGAGCCAAATCGAGCTGCATCTGTCTCCCTCTCTCTGTTTCTCTCTTGCTGCCTGAATGATGAGAAATGGCAGGCAGCTACTTCCAGCTTTGTTGTTGCTGGACATGTGACCTCCTCTCCGCCCAGAGGGGGGGAGGGAAAGGGAGAAATGAGATGAGAGGGAGATAGAAAGAAAAAGAGAAAGAGAGATGAGAGGGCCAGGTTTGCATTGTAATGGGCTCCAGAAGGGGATCCAGGATTCCCCGCACTGTGAAGCGCACTTTCGCTGTGCTGCGCAAAAGAGGAATTGGGTCTTTCCCCCCCCCGCCCCATGATAAAGGAAAGCCAGCTGGGCTTCTCCTTCCCTGCTACAATTGCCCCTTTCCTCCCACTCAATCCTACTTCCGGACAGAGGAGCGTGCACTGGAAATGCGTGTTTGCGACTATGTCAGAGTGCATCTTCTGACCATCATCCACAATTCTCCGCGCTCCTCCAGGCCTGGCGGCCATCTCCCACTGGTCTGTTGTGCTCGGCGGGGGAGAGGAGCACTTCCCCATGCCGCCCTTCTTTCTCTTGGGCCCGCTGACAAGGGAGGAAGGCCAGGCTTGGGGGATGGCCCACACTCCGCAAGATCTTCCTCTGCCATTCTCTCCCAGCCCTCTTTGCTGGCGGCAACAGCAAATGTACTGCAACGAAAGCAGAATGCTGTTGCCGCACAAAGGCATAAATAAAGTTACCATTTCAACTGAGAAGTGTATTAGTCAGACAAGGATTCTGATAGATTAATAAACTATTGATAATTAGTAACAGTGGGGTATAAACTAAAAAAAAATCAGGTGACGGTGAAATCACAGACAGGAAAGCAAGGAAAGTTTTTGCTGAAAATTTTTTTAGATGTTCTTTTATCTGGGAACAGAGAAAAGTTTCCAAGAGAAAATATAAATGCCTGATAACAAATTAGTAAGGGTTGGAAAAACTTCAACAGCAGTACATTTCCCATGTAATATCCAGAAAAGCTGCTACAAAGGCTATAATCATTATTTGCCAAAAATAAAACAACAAATGCTGCTGCTGAGGATTAACAAAAATGCTTGGGAAAATTTGTACTGTTAAACAATCCTTCCAGGATAGGTCCATAAAAAGAAAATGTAAAGTTTACCTTTTCTACCTTCTTGTCAGAAATATCTTGTTTTTCTAGAACTGCCATGCTTTCTTTCAAATTCTTCACTATGTCTGCAGGAGACTTGTGTGATTTGCCAAAGGGAAATGGCATCCTTGCAAACTACAAGTGTCTTTTCTTCTAAAAGTCTTCTTTTGCCTGAAAATTAAGAAGGGAGAGAGTTAATAGTAAAGAAAGCATATATTACCTGGATACAAAAAAGTGGTCATCATAACGTTTGTTAGAATTGAGCCTGATATTTTCAGCTTCAAATTAAAGCAGAACACTGAAGTAAATGCACAGAGTATATCAGTATAACTTTAATTCTATAGAAATTAGCATTCTCTATAAAAATTAGAATTTATCCTTCCAAATTAATTAATTTTCAAATTAATATTTTACAGGAACTAAACCGTTTCTGACTTTTATGTAATATTTTGGGCAATAAACTTCCCAAAAACCACTTGCAGACCAAACTACAGATCAGGAGCATCTTAAATATGCAAAATATTATCTGCATAGAACAGGGTTCCCTAAACCCCAGGCTGTGGACGAGCACCGGTCTGTGGCCCATCAGGAACTGGGGCAATGCAAGCAAGCAAAGCCCAATCTATGCATGCACAGGATACAGGCAGTGAGCAAAACTACGTCTTCCTGGCCCACAGAAAAACCACCCTCCATGGAACCAGTCCCTGACACCCAAAAGGTTGGGGGCAGCTGGTATAGAACACTTCTACACAATTTTTGCAGTTTGCTTTTTCAATTTTATAAAATATGCAGGTGGCAACTCCTGTCCAAAATGTATCTGTTTTAGAAACTAAGCAGGATCAGGCTTCATTAGTAGCTGAGCAAGACAATTCCAGAGAATATCAGGTCTGGAGGCATGACTGGTAAGTCAAAAAAGTCATCCTGGGAGAAGGCAATGGAAAGTCACTTCCATATTGTTGCTGAAAAGATACATTATCTGTAAGGTTATCGGCATAGGAATCAAGTTTAACCTGAATTTATTTAATTAATATTTCAGCATCCAAGTAGGTGAAAGGGCTATTTAATAATTAATCCCTTAAGTTCCTTTATGACTGGGCTTTCAGAGGAATCTGTTGGATAAAAAGGAACAAAACAGCCTTTTCTTCAAAAAAGCTAAGGGGCTGTTTACAAAAAACGCTTGGTGAAGCTAAGGTTACATAGCTGCCCCATGAAATGTAGTCAGGAAGAATAACGTAACAAATCTCAACCAACATGGTTAAGGCTGGCTGGGAACATTTGGAGGTGGAATTCAATTTCCAGAGGAATTCAGTTTGGTGGGCTACTTGTATTCAAATTCCACGGAGCAATTTAAATGATATAATAATATAGAGTAGAAGAAATAATTATTAGAAACAAATGTAAACAATAAAATGTTAACAAAATATCATTTAAAATGAAGGCTAAATGAATGGGAAATTCACAGAGGTATCTGAATGTAGAAAAGCATTCTTGAACATTAGATTGAGTTCATAGCATTAGATTATTGGGTACATAGCAAAATGAATATTAAAATATTCTAATTAAATAGTATAATTTTTAATACTGGAAAAATACCTGTTCCAAGTCATCTGTTACTATTTCTCAAATACTATATGAGACATGCCAATACCACGCATAATGATATGTATTTGCAAATGTTTTTCGTTATTAAGCAACTAGTTTTAGATTCTTTGTTTTTATGAATGACAGAATAAAAAGAAAACCTACTTAGCAAACAGCTGTAATTTTTTTGTTAGCAGATGAGGTGACAAATCAAAAACATGCACATAATATTCAAGAAGCTCCTTAATCTATTTTATGGAAAAAAGGAAACAGATAATAACAATTAGGAGCTATATGATATTTATGAATACAGGAAAGTTAAATAACACCTGTACTTAGTAGCAGTAGTAGCAGTAGCAGCAGTAGCCGTGCTGGGGCTGAAGTACTGTCTGCTACTACATCTCAGCTTCACTCCCAGTGGCACCTCTGCCAAGGAGCGCTATCTCAAGCCCCGTGACACAGCCAGGTACACCAGCATCACAGAACAAGGGTCCCATCGCCTCCACTATCCTGCATTCCAAGCTCCCACTATATTCAGCTGACCAAAACTGCCTTCTGCTGCTGAGGCCAGCCTAGTCCTATCCCAAGGCAGCTGTTGGCTGCATCAGGCCTTCTTCCCAAATCTGACTGTACCATTCTCCAAATAGTACACCCCACTTTTGCAGTGCTTCTTAAGACTTCAGCAGCTTTCCAAAGGTTTTCTGTAAAGCAACGGCAACCAGCTAAGGCCTGTTGCCCAGGGGTTCTGCTGAACAGGGAAGCAAAAAAGGGCAAAGGGCAAAGATGAGGGTGGAGCTTGGGGAAGCTAGGTGGAAAGGAGAAGTTGAAGCACCCTGAGTCATAAGACATAAGTGCAGATGCGCACTCAAATGTTGATTGTGGGACCATGGCAACAAGCTGCAACTTCAAGAACTTGGCATAAGTAAACATTCATTCAGCACTGCTGTAATTTTTGAACAGTTGCTGAACAAATAGAATTAACTCAAGGACTACTTGTATCAGATAGCCACAATTAATTAAAAAGTTTCTAAAAATAAACGTATGCAAGAGTCTAAATTTTAATCATATTCAAACAGTGGATGGCTATTTTGGCTAATACTCAGATCTTAAAGAATGCTAACTGGGATTTTAAAATAAATGGTACACCAATTCCCTACTTCTTTGTCATATGTAGAACAATTCTGAAAAGTAAGAGTTAAGATAAATTTGTTTCCTGTCCATTTCCAGTTCTCCAACTGTAAAATTTAAAGCAAGTCCTGCCTGCAGGCTATAATGTTTTGAATATGATTTCATCCAGGAGGCAAATCAGGAGTGACCAATCATTCTGAAAGCTAAAAAGCACAAAACTCAATGAACTAGTCATACATACTAAGTAGGCATTTAATCGTTTTACATCCTCTTACTCCAAGAGATAGCTAGTATCAAACTTCAGGTAGCTTTTCTTGGTGACATAAAACCTTTAAAGCCTACTTATTTTCAGAAAGGGAGTTCCGCTGTGTGCTATCATATAATGTTGATAGGGCAAGAAGAATTAACTTGGCAGTTTTAACACATTTCATAATCACCAATAATTTAACAGATGAAAACTACTTAAATACCAGCAAAAGGTTTATTCTAACAAAAGCAACATAATTTTACAGACACCTACCCAAATTCCCACTTTCCCTGAAGTCGTGATTCTAGAATTTCTGCAGCTGAACTTTGTTCAGAAAGGGAATGTGTACCTTTCTTTTAAATTAAGGCTGTTGTTCATTACTTAGGAGTGAGCAGATGAACACATTTTACTTAAGAGAATACACATATAGGACTGTATGATCAACTAGTTTCTTTTAATCAAAGATTACAAATTAAAATGTATTTTTCCTAAAGAATGACTGCATTTGGCTTTGTATGATGGTTGGGTCTTAGGATCATGTGATCACCGTTCGTTACTTTCCCAGCTAGCTTCCAATAAGGAAAGTCAATCGGGGAAGCTGGATCAACTTAACAACCACATGATTCACTTAACAACTACAGTGTCACTTAACAACCATGGCAAAAAAGTTATAAAATAGGATGTAACTCACTTAACCCACCACATCGCTTAGCAACAGAAATTCTCAACCCAATTGTGGTTGTAAGTCAAGGACTACCTGTACAACCTGTACTCGAAGTTATGGCCACTGTAGTGCCCTGTGATCATGTGATAAAAATTCAGGTACTTAACCAGTCCTTATAAATAAGCACAGGGCCACTGCAACTGCCCCACCCATCTATCTTTCCCACTCAATTTGCTCCAGAGTCCTTTGGGCCTAGCTAAGTAGCCACAGATCTTTGGCTTGCCTCCTGCCCAGGTGAATTGGGATATTTAATAAATTCTGTCAAAGCCCAAAGTCATCATTTAAAGAGCTTGATCATGCCACCTTTTTAAATTGATTTTTAAACACAACGCAATTGATAAGACATGCCTAAAATGAATTTATAATCAATATAACACTGAATTGAGTAAGCTTGGTTATATTCTAAAATCATGAAGGACATGATTTTCAATCTAAGAATTCAGGGCTAATTATTTCTGTTAGAAAAATTCCAAATTAGCATGCTTCCAAGACACGTGGCATCATTAAACTATAAAGACACCTAAGGTGAAATGTTCTGAAATTGATGGGCAGAAATGTACACATTACACCACTCAATAGCTAAAAGCAGCTATTAGTCTAGATTTAAATGTTAACTGGCAGGTGGCAATGCTGACACAATGATAGTATTCATGGTGATCACATGACAATACTGGCAAAGATACAGTTCCTTGCATTGTTTTTCATTCAGTAATACATGTAAACCCAAAACAAGTAACTTTGATCCCGAAACAAACACACTTGAGATATCAGTATAATGCACAATAAAGAAGAATAGAAGCTTGTTCATGTATTCTCTACCTAATTGCTAATATAAGAAATACCGATAATGTTCAACAAGAAAAAAGTATTTAGCCCTTATAAAAAGACATAAGGCATAAGTTCTAAGTCACTTTATTCAATAACTGCCATCATCAAGTGCCACCACACCAACCTCTTTGGTTTGTTATGTATAATACACGTACTGATAGAATAAAAGAAGCAGTTTGTAGAACCAGAAATATAAGGGTCCATTTAAAACATGAAATTCAACTAACTGGACACTATAGCCTATTTCCAGATTACACAATGGATCTGTTCCATGAATCCTTGCATAAATTGTTTTTCATGTACCCTTGATCATACACTGTGCGTATATGCATAAAAATGATGGCTATTATTATTGTACCCCTTGTGCAATACCATAATTAATAAGGACTTCAGAGAGGGGCGTGGTTTTATGCCTTCAAATCAAACTTGACTCCTGGAGATTGCCTGGACAAATCCTTGCAATTTTCTTGGCAAGATTTTGGAAGTAGTTTGCCACTGCCTCCTTTCTAGGGCTGAGAAAGTGTGTCTGGCTCAAGGTCATCCAGCTGGCTTTGTGTCTAAGGCAGGCCTAACATTCACAATCTTCCAGTTTCTAGCTTGGTGCCTACACCAAATAAAGACTTGTACATGGTTTAAAATTATAATTAATACACTATCATTACATAGATTAATGGCAATGCACTCAAAGTCCATTTTGTATTTGTTATCCTTTGCATGGGGTACCGTATGTAAATACCAACCATTAAAGTATTTCTATTAAATATTTCCACAAGCATGCTGACATTTTTTCATTACATTCATTAATCAAACAACAATTTTAATTATCATGTTACTCTGCTTTGAAGGATAATACCTAGAGAACCCAAAAGTTATTAATATGATTCTGGGAAGCTTTAGTTCAATGACAATTCGATAGAATTATTCCTTCAACTTGAATCAACAATGTAATTAAATATATGAAATTGTATCAAGTGCTTTCAAATCAATTCAACGAAGTAAAATAATTTTCTGCCTAATCAATGTGCCTGTCAAGTCTTTTTCACAATTTCAAATCTTGAGTAACATGGAAAAAACCTAGCAATTACCCTACCATAATATAAGCACAACTTTATTATGTTATACTCCCCATTTTAATTCATTTTAAAAATAAAAGAACTGTAGGATTTTATAACACAGGTCTAAGTGACATTAAAAGCAAATATATTATTTTTTTATATTGCCTGAATTAATATAAGTTAACTTTGAGTGATTTATTCACACATAATTGAATGAAATCTCATTGATAATATAAGTAATATAACTTTTGCTAATGAAAATTTTATGCACATATTGCAAGCTGATTGAAGAGGTTCTTTAAAATATGAGATGATCTTTAGTCAACTTTTTTATAACCTAACAATTTAATGACATTTGTACATAAAAATCCACCGTACCTGAAAACCCATGTCAAAACTTGTAGCAAAAATACAAATACAGGTAGTCTTCAACTTGCAAGCGTTTCTTTAGCAAAGTTACAATAGCACTGAAAGAAATGACTTACAAGAGGTCCTTGCACATATATGATTACTGCAGCATCACTACAATCATGTGGTTACGGTATCCTGGCCTAATGTGATCATCATTTACAATCTTCCGAGCTGGCTTCCAATAAGCACAGTCAGTGGGGAAAAACAGTTTTGCTTAAGAGCATGCAATTCATTTTAACAGCTGCACTTAACAACCATGGTAAAAAAAATCATGTATGACTCATTTAACAACTGCCTTGCTTAGTAATGGAAATTCTGGTCTCAATTAGTGTCATAAGTCAAGGACCTGTATTTACAAATTGTACTGCTTCACAGCTGGGAAAATTTAATTTCCGCTAGCAATATAAAATATTTCATGCACATTTCAATCCTGAAATGATAAAGAAAAGGAATGTTCCTCATGTTTAGTACCAGAAAGACTGTGGGGGGGGGGGATACAAAATGTAGTCTGCAGGATTTGGGTTTGGCTAATCTAAAGAAAAGAAGAATTAGCAGTATTCCAGTATTTGAGGGCTGCCACAAAGAAGAGGGGGTCAAATTATTCTACCAAGCACCAGAAGGCAAGACAAGAAACAATGGATGGAAACTAATCAGAGAGAAGCAACCTGAAATTAAGGAGAAACTTCCTAACAGTGATGTGTGTTTGCCTTCAGAAATTGTGGGCGCTCCATTATTGGGTTTTTTTTTCAAAGAGACTAGACAGTCACTTATCTGAAATGGTCTAAGTCGCCTGCTAGAGCAGGGGACTGGGCTAGAAGACCTCCAAGGTCCCTTCCAGCTTATTCTATTTCATTC